ATCCCCTCATCCCTTCATCCCCTCATCCCCTCATCCCTTCATCCCCTCCCTACAACAAACTCTAAATTATATCTTCGTGGCGTGGTCCTTGCTAGTGAATATGTGCAGGTTTATGCATCTACAGGGGTTAGACAATGAACCTGAAACACCAATGACAGGCGTTTCATGAGGTTTCATGGGTAAATTGGACCAGCCTGATGGTCAATCTTCATTAATTGCACATTGCACCAGTAAGAACAGAGTGTGAAGGTTCAATTAGCAGGGTAGGAGCACAGTTAGGCTCTAAGTATTGCAATGCACAAAACATTATGGGTGAAATACCAGAGTTCAAAAGAGGACAAATTGTTGGTGCACATCTTGCTGGAGCATCTGTGACCAAGACAGCAAGTGCTTGTGATGAATCAAGAGCCACTGTATCCAGGGTAATGTCAGCATACCACCAAGAAGGACCAACCACCCGCTTCGGATGTTATCATCCATGAAATGGACGTTATCAGTCCCCTAGAATGGCTTCAGAATGTCCTGCCTGTGCCGCTTAGCAGGTTCCCCGTGCCACAGAATGGATTCTGATTGTCAGCTGGTTAGTATGAGGCATAAAACTACTATCTGGTTAATATGAGGCATAAAACTACTATCTGGTTAATATGAGGCATAAAGCCATTAAGTTTACCCTTAGAGGAAATGACATGGTTAGCCCTAACCTCTGACAACAATATATTGTGGCTTTCCATAGGGCAATGGGTAGAGAGTTGGATCAGAGAGTGGGAGACCAGGGTTTGAGACCGACATAGACACAAAAAAAATTATGACAATATATTTTGGTTATTTACACATTTATTGTCATTGATACATTAACCCACTAGGAGGCACTGTCTGGACAGTCTGAAGCCTAGAAGGCACAGTAGGGACCCTCTGAAGCCATTGTATGGGACTGATAATGCCTAATAACGTCCATTTCATGGACTGATAACATCAGAATCCCCTGGACTAACCACATCCAACAGGATTAACTGTGGACACAACAGGAAGCTGTCTGAAAGGGATGTTCTGGTCTAAAACCAGCTGGTTCATTGTCTAACCCCTGTATATACGTGTATGTACACATGCAGATGTACTGTATATGGGCATATTTTAGCAGATTTTATTCTTTTACTCTTTTCTGTTTCTTTTAATGTGTATTTGCACTGCTGTGGGAGTGACTCTAATCTTATTATGCATGCGTTTAATGAAAATAAAGGCATTCTATTCTATTCTATTCTATTCTATTCTATGAATCTGTAGTTACCCTCTGAAAACTTGGTCTTCTGGATCACATCTAAGCAAGTGCCAGACTAATCTCACTACACTTGAGCAAAGTGTGCAACCTATTGTAATGACAACTACAGTGTAAGTGAAGACAGAGTTTTAGCTGATTTTTAAATAAGACACATGTAAACTACTTGTACATTTCGTACAAAAATCTGCAAAAGCAGCTAAATCAAAGTAGCCTTAATCACAACAGAAGAGTTTCACTTTAGTTTGTAGAAGCAACATTCAGTAACTCAAGTAAACAACTCAAAAACATTCGTTTAATTGCATCAATATTTTATTTCCATTTGTGCCTAAAACATACTCCGAGAAATTCTGAAGGCACCTGCAGATAAGAAAACAATAAAATACATGAAAATTGAATATGAAATGATGACTGAGGAGTGATCGAAATAATAAATTATGAAAAAAACCAACCCCAGGAACACATGATGATGAAACAGACACACACACTCTTGTACTTGCATCAAACTGAAGACTTTGTATTGACTTCCATTCATTTTTGTAACTGTATTAAGTGAATGGCAGCGATTGTTTTTTGAAGTTTTTTTTTTGCCATGGTTTCTACTTGTTCAAGTTTAGATAATTTATCTGTGGAAGTCGCACACCTAGTGTTTTTATTTGTCGATTCCATACGTGATTCTAGATGACTTTCAAAGCGACCTCTGTCTGACGCTCGTGTTACATTGAGCGTCTGCTTCCTGAGATCCCACTGAGCAGATAATCTAACGTTGGCGTCGGACCTCATGAATCCAGTCAGAGACGCTTTCTTACTTATTTTCTTCATCAGATCTTCTGTCTGAGCAGTGCTTTCTCCACTCTGTGTGACTGGTTCATATCTGTACGGATGGATGGTTTTTAGAGCCAACGACAGCTAGCAGGCTAACAAGTAGCTTCTCTTCTAACCAGCTCCGGGTACAACAGCGCTCCGAGCTGCGCTTCTTTCTGTTCGATATTTAGCTGAAATGATACATTCCCAGTTAAATTAAAAAGATGAACAGCTTTGATGATCAGCTGGTCTGATTTTATGACAATCTGAATGCGTAACTGGTGTTTACTTCATCAACGTGGGAAAAATAAATAAAAGCTTCTCCTCCTCTGACCTTTCACTCAACAACACTGATTCAACATTGAGTAAAAACAAATATATTTCCAGCTATCAGCTGTGTTTCCATTGCAAATGTGCGCAAAACTTTGTCGATATTCTGTTAATGTCGAAAAACACAGTTTCACAACTGCAGTGTTTCCATTAAGTAAGAAATGTTATTAAAGTCACGTGAATACGTTTGTTCTCATGATAAGTCATTACAAACATGGCGGCGATGGATGTAAACACATAGCATGTTGCTACCACGACACTAGCGCTCATCGTCAGAGGAGACGTCGGCGTCTTTTATCGAGGCTTTCCAGGGACAAGTCCCTACTTGGGAGCGGCTACGTATGCTGTGTTTTTGGGAAATTGTAGTCGGTGAGTTTACTATTTTATACTACTTCTGTGATATTACTACTACTTCTACTTCCTGTTATCTTCTTCATCATCGTCTTTTTCACCAGTAGAAACAGACGGCTGTTGATCACGTGACTCCTGTGATGTGAAAAAAGTGTTTCCATTGCAGTTTTTCGAAAAACATAAATTTCGATACGGCCAAAAAACCACCTCATCCTAGAGCAAAAACATTTTGTCCAAAAACGTAGTTTTTTTTCGATATTGACGTGTTTCCATTGAGCAAATTTATTTTTGAAATTCTAATTTGCGCATTTTCATGGTCAATGGAAACGCAGCTACTGTTGTTTATATCTTCACTATGACACGGAGTGCAGGTGGGCAGATGGAGAGATTATAATATTTTAGAACCAGCAGTGCAGCGGTCCGAAACCGGACAGACTCTCCGGTCCGGTTAACCGGAGAGTCTCCAGATCCGACCGACTGCACAGCAGCTGAAGACCATTTTTACAGCTAAATCAACGGCGGGGGGGGAACAATAATAGGCTACCAACTGCCTGATTCTCCTCTAGCTCAATAGTATCTTATGGACATGTCTGTTTCTGCCATCCAACATGGAAAAAAGGGGCGGTCTTCTGAGGCGCATGACGTCATGTGCAAAGGGTCAATAGCAGAAACAAGTACACACACACATACATTTGTTTTTATATCCTTGTGGGTACCGTGGATTGACTTCCATTAATTTTCTGGTAATTTTATAGCCTATGACCATTTAACCAAAAATTAACCTCACAGGTACCTACCTACCTGACCCTAAAACTAACCTCACAGGTACCTACCTACCTGACCCTAAAACTAACCTCACAGGTACCTACCTACCTGACCCTAAAACTAACCTAAACTCAATTTATACCATTGTCCTAAACCCCCCTACCTGAAATTAGCATCTGTATTGGTCCAGGCATTGGTCCCCACGATGATTATTCAGTCCCCACAAGGCTGCTTTTTCTGGAAAACGGTTCCCACAATGTAGCAAAACATGAAGCCTTTTTTATGTGTGTGTGTTTAACAGCTCATCTGTCCTCTTGTTTTTACTATAAAACGTCACAAAAATTAAAAGGCACAATATTTACACATAAAGCAGTAAGACTGTTAATCTATTAAACACAAAATAACCTCCTAATCTTTTAATTCTGTGCTGTTTTTCTACTTATAATCACTACTATAAAAATATACAAAGATAGAAGATCAAAACTAGATGACTGTCAAAAAAAATTGGATGCTCAGTATTTGACACATAGAAAAATTAAGTAACACTGGTATACAAATATAATGAAAAAAAAAGTACAACAAATACTTAAACATCTCTCAGTTTAGAAAAGGGTTTGCTTTTTTGGATTTAAAAAGTGTTTTATCCCGTCGATTTTTACCTAAGCTGTGATGCGTTTATTAACTTTCACGTAGTAGTAGGAAATTTTTTTTAAAGCAATTATGATAGGAAGACTCTGACTTACATTTAGCTTTAACCAATAAAATAAGACTAAAGAGTTTTTACATATCGCCATTTCATTAAACTAGTCTATATAGTCCACTTTTATATGGAATGCTCATAATAGTGATGCTTGCTCTGACATTTTAAAATAAAATTTTAGCTATGAGTCAGTTTCTTTAAATAATTTCTGAACTGCGGACTGACCCTGGAGACTAAAAATGAACCATCCTTGTTTGTAAATCAAATGTGTTTAACCCTCACGTTGTCCTTAAACCTAACACAGATGGTGTCGTTGTGTTAGCATGGTGTGATCTTCTAGTGCGATATGGTCCGATAGTCACACAATTGCAAGACAAGAATTGTGAGTATACATTGTAGAATTGTTGTTGGAAAGTGCTGTTGACATATAGAACATAATGAAAATGCAGAAAAGCATTCTGGGGGATTTGTCATCTAGTTTTAAGAGGGCCTAAGATTAACATTAAGACAAGAAAGGAAAAAGAAACGCAGGTTAACATCTAGAAATTGGAAAGCAGTGAGACATACACAGAGACACAAAAGTTGTATCAGTTTCTCGGTCAGTTTGAGTGTTGTCAAAAGTGTTAATAATAATCCTTAAACTCAACACCTGAGACGAAACGAAGGAACCTTTAGAACAAGAGAAACAAGGACAGGCTCTCAGTCCACATGTACAAGACATAGTTTTACTTTATCACGGTTTTATCAAATTTCCCATTGGGCCCAAAATGGCGATACTCAAAAAATACAGCATATTTTTAATTTCCTAAAAACTCAAGTGATTAATATTAACCCATAATACCATACTGAATACAATGACAGAGCACATTAAAAATACTTTTTTGCAAACATGTAGCATGTTCATGTCTTCATTTGTGCCCTCTGACAATGAGGAATGATAAATCCAAAATAAATAGCCATGGCCGCCTAGGATAAGGTACTGCTTCTTTCTTTGTCAATAACTTCAGTGTTTTCTTGCCTGAGAATGTGTCCACAGTTCTACTGATATGACATCAGCATTGAGTTTCATTTGATCTGCTGTGGCAAACAGTCCTTAATACTGAGAGGAATGATATAAGGAGACTTCCAAAGCATGAGAATAAACCTTCCTTTTAGCTTTATGTAAAAGTGCCTCAAACCCAATACTGATTTTTTTTCAAGGCCGGGTTTGTTGTCCGACAGTGCTGCAACAACTCTGGGTCAGCATCTTTGGAGTCCACGTTGGTCATGGGAATGTTATTTGCTGGGTCAGTTTTGCGAAAGGTCTCTGTGGTGGCCACCTCTCCATTTTTGGGCTTGAATACCGCTGTCTGAACATCGTGTTTGCCCGTCTTGTTTTTACGGATCAGGTAGTAGGCCAAGATGGCTGCCAGAAGTAAGAGAAGGAGGACCACCAGGATGGGGATGAAAATAGACCAAAAGTTGCTGTGGCGGGAAACGTGTGGGTTCCCCTGGGAGCTGGAGCCAGGAGATGCAGTGGTGAGGTGGTCTCCAAGGGACCCATCCTTACCTGAGAGGTCCTTACTGTTGGGAGTCCTTAATAAAGTGGCAGGGTAAACCCCAGATGCATTGTAAGGGCCTGTGTGAAAGGAAAGCACACATTCTGCTGGAGGCACTCCGTGGGCTTTGAGCAGGAAGCGAGCCTCATCCTTAGTACCCCCACTTTGTGATCCAGAGGCACCATCTGAAATGTCCATCACAACACGGCCTTCATTCAAATCCTTCTGACTGAATGAGTCCACCGGTTGACCTGCACCAGTACCCCAATTAGTCAAAAAACGAGCGCCCTTTGGCTGCTGGGTGATTGTAAATGTAGGGGAACTTCTAGTCTTGTCGGCCAAAGGAGTAGCATCCAGAAGCCTTCTGTCTACCTGGACGATTGTACCCTGAGGTAACAGAGGATCCTGAGCAATCTTGGCCAAAGGCTGTACAGTGATGTTAAGGACAGAGGAAACATTAGCAGCCTGACTACGGGCCGTAAATGAAATGCTGTCTCGAGGTGATGTGGACTTGACAAAGCGAACGCTGACTCTGCCTTCTTTGATCTGTTTCTGTGTAAAGGCAGATGTGGGCTGCCGGTCCACCATGATAGCCGCATACTTGGGAACGCTGGTGATTTTGTAAAGGATGTCCACCTCAGCCGGGCCCCCGGTTGTAACATTCAACATCTTTTCTGTCACAAGAGTCTGATCATCACCCTGCTTAACCTTAATCTCAGAGACTTTGTCAAGAAGCAGTTTTTGAGATAGGATGCCAATGTGTAGAGTGAATGGCTCTGTTTGAAGTTCGCCATCTGATACAATGAAGTCCAAAAAGCCTTCATTAAGGCTGCCATCGCTTCTGAAGCATACCTCCCCATGATTGATCATCTCTTGTGTGAAGTGAGAGATGGATTCCAGTGTGATACAGTTAACCAGCTTCCCATTGCCAGGTGCTTTGGTCACTATGAAGTTGATCTCATCTGGTGGGCTGTCTTTGTCATGAGTGTTGAGTTGATTCTTAGTCAAGACTTTCATGGTGCCTTGGAGAACCTCCAGGAGCATATCTGTTGCGACTAGTTCAGGGGGGTCAGAACCTCGCTGTTTGATAGAAATATGGAAGACCTCCTCTAAAATAACAGATTCAGCAGGAGAAGACCCACCAGGACCCTTAGATTTTACCCTGGCCCTGAAGGAAAAGCTGTCAGAGGCAGCCCTTGAATCATCATGGAGGTAGTCCAGCTTTCCTTCAATGACATCTTGCTGCATGAATGTAGGTACATTTTGAGGCAGGTCCTCACCACTCAGAGTGATCCGACCATGATTGGGAGAGCGCTTAATCTCAAAAACCACATCCATGTTGGCTCGCTTAGCTTCAGGCACGCTCGCCAGAAGATTGGAGGCATCAAGAATTGAACTGTCGATTGTTTTGCTCTGGCCTCGCACAATTTCCAGACCTAAGAAGAAAAAAAAAAAGAAAAGAAAACAATAACATCAAGGTTCATATACCCTGTCTCTTAGTTTTTAAGTAGTATTTAATAACACACTGCTGTTCCCTGGCCTTCGACTCAGAGTGGATCAGTTTTCAACCACACAGTTATATTCCTGTGGGCATTCCAACCCTTATTTTCTACCTTCTGTTAATCTCTGCATTTTATCCGTGTCCTCTATGCATTGTACAACACGTTGGTTGGCCTTGTGCTGTTTTAAGTGTGTTGTAAATAAAAGTGGAATGGTATAAAAAACAACAACATGCTGGCAGATTTGCAGAGACAGTTAGAAAAGAGGCCTGTGCTGTTTTGAAACCAACGAAAAGTAAAAGCAAGAAATTTCTTTAAACTGTAAGCTGCACGTTGGTGCAGTTAGAGCTGTCACCTCTACAGTGGCGCCTGCAGAAATATTTTTCAGGGGGGGGCCACTGAAAAACCAGGGGTGGCACACCAAAACTAATATCAATAACACAAATTTTATGATGTGTTTGTAAAAATGACTAATTGAAAACTATGGCAATATAAAGCTATGGATTTGCCAACAGATGTTCAATTTGTAATTTCACAGATAATATCACTGATTTTATGACATTCAGAGACAAAAAAAACAAGAGTAAGTATTTGTAATGTTGGGGGGACCCACTGGTGGGGGGTCTGGGGGGTCCTCCCCCAGAAATTTTTAAAGAAGTAAATGTCATTTCCTGCATTCTGGTGTATTTTAACAGGTTGTTGAACAGATGTTTACCTACATAAGAAAACACTTAATGTGAGTTTTCTACAGGTAAAATGAAATAAATTTATTTGTTAAACAAGAGAAACACTGGATGAACTAATGTTTTATGGTAAATGTGGGGGTTTAAATGAATTAAATTTTAAATTTGATGGGGACAGTTCCCTTCAAAAATGATAGATGTCTGTCTTTTTATTTAAAATGTCAAAATACATATTTTAAAGACATTTACAAGGAACAATCTTTTTAAAATTTAAAGCCATCACCTCTTCTATGT